TGTACACACACTCTACAAACCCTAACTTTACCTGCCTCCTGAATCGAACAGATTATGGTTCTCCTCTAATAGGGGTAGTTGACGGTTATGTCTTTATGCGATCCCGTTTATGACGAAATTAGGGTTACGTATACCGGAAATTGTAGCATAAGCATAGCCTCAACTACAGCGACACCAAAAGGGCATCGTGGGACACGTCATGGTGATCCTAGCAGTTATATGGCCTTTTCGCGAGATGCCATCATGAAGCCTATTGAGTTTCATCTTTTTTATTTCCCTTTCTGTTCATGCACGTGGCTCCGGCTGTGAATCTTTCAGCGCGAACAAATTAACGATCAGCCGTTCGTTCGGAGACAATACAGACGCATATTTCAGAAGTATATATTCGATGATATGAGTGCATCGGTCAGTGAATGAATCGTGACCATGCCTGATGATCTGATCCGAAGTCGAGGACGATCGTTTTGGCTAATCTTATTACTTAAGCATACGACACCTGCTGCCGTAAGGCACCGCGGCACAGTTTGTGTTAGAAAAATTCGTTACGCACCTGGTGTCAATCCGTTGATCCAGGAATCCGAGAAAGGAGCTCCTAAAAAACAAGGACTCTGAGCAGGTTCCGCCAGACAGAGCAAAACGTTCAAGTACTTAACCGTACTGAGCTAAGTGGTTTTCGATGGGCCGACGCATCGCGTATGAGCCACACCGCGTGTAATGTATAATTAACAGCAAAAGAAAGCCAAGTAGAAATTCGACGTAAGCAGTACTAATAGGACAATGATACCTATCCGAAAAAAAAACGTTTCTCCCAAAGACTCGGCTGGGAAAAGATATCTAATGGACGATATCACGTCTGTCATCCATTGGCAGCGTTTGCCGTTCAGTCATATGACAAGCCGAATTCGTTTGACGGTGATTCAAATCACTGATTGAACGGTACTACCACAGTCACTTAGTTACGGAAAAAAATCAGTGTCAGCGTTTAACAATGGTAAATAGTAATGTTTGCATAAATAAAAGATTTTAACAAGACATGCCTCCGAAATATGCTGTTAACTTCGTATACATTTCCTCATACGAAATACATCAGCTGCAAAAACATAAGGCTTTCCATAGCACACCTAGGTAATGTAGAATACGCCGCTTTGTTACCAGCTTAGTCTGCAGTGAAGCCGCGACTTACCTTTCAGCGAGGTTATAGGTTTACTTAGCTCCTGTCGTCCATATTGACGAATCACTATTAACAAATGAGGAGAACCGTACATGCTTACGTGTGGTTTAAAAAAGGAGACTAAATTTCGTTGCTTATTCTGACAAAAGTTGTGCCGTTACCAGTGAACTATCATATCGTCTGAAGCCTTTCTAGGAATTGCCTGCCTGTCGAAACTTAATTTGTCCTCTACACGGACATTTTTTCTGTCCATCCTATTACTAAGAATCAATTGAACTACTCGAAAACGTAGGACCTTTTGCGAACCTTGGGTCTGAGATGTGACGCTATCCCTTTGTAGCCTAAGCCAGATTTGAGCGTGCGCGATACGAGAGCAGTGACGATCTCGTTGTATGCGTACAAAACACTGTTTCATACAGCCTAGATAAGGGTCGTATGCATCAAGTCCATGAAACGTATCCTATGTCAGCCCCTGTTAAGATAACTAATTAGGAGGTTGTGGTTGGGACGGAAAATGGTCTTTTATTATACTTTACCGCTATTATTATTACCGTTATTAGGAAACGGACGTTCGGTCTGTACTGATCTGGTGGTGGCCAGGTTATTAGCGTTCGATTTATGTTCATATTTCAGGAGTAACAGAAAACGACACTTTACACGAATGTTTAAAATTATCACCTATCATTGCCAATATTACGTGCGTATAGGCATGGCCCATACATTTCAAGAGTTTGGCACTTGTTAGCTATTTGTGTCGAGGGCCACGTAACGTTTCAGCCGTTTCCTTTAATAGATAAGCTTGGTTTGGGCAAATTGCCCCAGAAGGCGGGGCAAAATCAAGCGGCTAGTCACTTCTTCTGGCGCTGGATTATATCAGGTTATTATTTGAATCAAGAATCACCTCTACTACCTTTGTCGATACCATCATTCGAGAGTTTACGGCGCTTAGGGAGTGGTTCATGCGTCTAGTTCAGCTCGTTATTCTGCATGGGTCGGAACGTGATATTTTATATTTTGATTTATCATATCGAGGGAAATCGTTCGTCTGCCAGTATTTGGGCTTTTTGTTAAAGTGGGTTAGAAAACATGGAACGCTTTAATATTACTGCCAGCCAGTTTTGCCGAATTAGCCATTCGTCTTACTACAACAGGACTGCTTCATTGGAAAAACTTATCCCAGGTATTATCAATATTATTTTCGTTTTTTTTTTTTGTTATATTATCACTATTGCTGCCCAACTTGCCATGTACACGCCACCAGCGGGCCAGAATCACCAGTGCTAAAAGCGATTTTCTATCTTTGTTAGATTGACGGACAAATGCCCTACGGGTCGTCTACACGAAACACCACAGCTTTTCCCTTCTGTCCCTTTTTTGATCTTTCAGTAGCCCGTCAATGTCCTCAAAGCAGGACAGAATTTTAATTTTTGTCGAAGTCACGTTGTTTATTTCCCGTAAAGCAGAAGATATTGCGTTTCTGGAACCACTATCGGAATTGCAAACAGTGATCGCGTTACACTTTAACCTCGTGTGCAAAATACGCCAACCTTGGCTAGCCGTAATGGGCAGTGTCTTGTATTGTATATTAGAGAAAAGTATGTCTTGTATTGTATATTAGAGTGGAGTTTTTTTTTTTGGATGATAAACACAGTTAAGAAAATAATTGCTGAAATATGTCAGGTTTTTTTTACATGCATTTATGGTAAAGTGGTATGCGTTTAAGCATCGTTTTCATCCTGCTTACGTGACCCCGGCAGATCGCTGGTGGGGTGATCTATGGAATAATTTTATTTTCACTAATTATTGAGATTTAGTGGGGTAGAGAGCGCCCCATTCTTATTAAATATATAGCAATGACAGGGTGTGACCTATTCTTGTGTGGATTGATCTTGCAATTTATCGTACCAAAATACGCATGTTGATTTTTTTTCGAGTGTATGCGTTTACAACATATGCTGTTAATTGTTCAGTTGGCATGCACCCAACTTTTCTCGACCCACATCTGTGCTTTCGTCTGTTGGGAATCGAGAATATACGTATAACTGAAACCCCGACATGGCTTTGAGCTTTCATGTCTATGCTGACCCATTAAATACACCGATTAGCTCAATTGTTTACAAATCAATTCAAGTCAAATGACTGAAGGATCGTGTCCATTGTAATTCGTATATATATTTTTTTTCAAATAAAGCTGTTGTCTTCTTATGGTCCATATTAACATAATGTGATGTTAGTATGGACGACGGCCGTTGGAGCGCTCGACTACGCGTGAACGGCAGAATGCTACTGTAATAATCGATTGTTTCTACGATCTCTTCGTCCATACGCCAGCAGAGTGTAGTTGCTATTTAATGTTCCAGCTTATAGAAATTCAGGGCTTATTCTCATGGGAATGCGTCTGTTGGTGCATTTTTTTGTTTTTAATTTTACGCTTTTTTTGATCATACGGAGTTAACAGTAGTTTATTTCCAGATAGGTTTACACACCCACAGCAGCAGTTCGATCTCTGGAAGGGTTTACTAGCTCTGCTCCCAATCGCATATCAATGAATAGACTACAACCGTTCGACAAACGGTGGAATTAAAAGTTGTTATTCTCAGCTTCGGAAAGATACAGAACGACGCTCCACAGCGTTTTGGAACGGTAATAGAGTACCTTTGTAAAGCGAAACGTATTAAAGGGTACCCAGTGTCGTCGCAACTCGCTCTAGACTTAGAAGACGGCTGACAGATACCACGTTAGCCAATTACCTGGTTCAATGGAATCGCTCGCGGTCTTCGATAGTTGGTTTCGCTGCCGTGACAGTCGCCGTGGACGTAATTGCGATCCGGGCCTCGGATCAAATCCTGACCGAGCTAATAATGCGACCCTTTTGGATACGTAACCATTAGTCGTTCAGATGTACGACCTTAACGCATCGCACGATTAGCGACCTTGATAACAATTTAAGCGAATCCGCCCACAGGACTCGCACACTTCACAAGGCTATTAGTTGCTATTAAAGCACCGAATGTACTTTACGGGGACAATTCAATAAATACACCGAATGCTTCATAAAAACACACACACACAAACAGATACACAAATATTCATTACGCGTTATGCTGCCATGTCAAACTAGCTCGGAGTAATCCTTCAAAAAAAGAAAGAAAATAATCACGATAGACAAATAACTCGTAGTCGATAGCTGAATGAATCTAGGCAGTACTGAGTAATCTTTGTAGGAAAACAGAATTATTCAGCCAATGATCGAGCGGATTAAACCCATATGCGCCACCGTATGACCCACTGGGCCACTTTAAAATGAAGCTGCAACAACTGTGACAGTGGTTATTATTTCTTCATTATTGTTTGCGGGTACTTTTAGACGACTGACTGTGTTCTTGATTCAGGCGCCTAATCGCGAGACGTAATTTGATGATAGAAACACAATTAGAAACATACATAGTATAATAACTGTCTTGGTAAATGGTTCATTTAGGCGAACGATTGCTGGCTAGGCAGCCGTCGCTAATCTATCAATTTATGACAATTTCTGTGCGATTTCATTGACTGTACCTCAGTTTTTCATGTAGCACCATAAAGCTAGCCAAGATGCTAAAGGAAAATCTTCCTGGACATAATGAAGAGTGCACACCATAGATTTTTTGAAAGGTCACCGTGATGTAAATGTGTACAGTTTCTTAGCTTCATAGAACTTATTGTTATAGAAACACATTCTCATGGAAGTGAAAAAAGGGTAGAGAAAAAATTAAGTCATTATTTGTAACGGAATGTTTCTCTTAGCTTTTTTTTGTTGTTGTTGTGGCGTTGTTGTTCGCTATTTCAGGAACCGAATTACCTGCCACCGGACGCTTTTACCAGTATCCACTGGCTAAAGGGTGATGGGGCTCTGGCCGGGCAGGCCAGGGCGCCAAGAGTGATGCGCGTAAAGGGGCGAGCTCGACTGTACTTCAGTCGAACAGCTCGCAATAAACGGCTGTAGAAAGACACTAGCGGGCCAATTGAATATACGCCGAGTCATGCCGACGGAGATGTGGACACTGCACGTCGTGGAGATGCACGCTGGGAACAGCGCCCAACTGCGCTGTTTTCAGCGGCTAGACACCGCATCGGAGAATTGACAAAAATCAAAGAAGAACAAAAGCTTCTTTCGGGACCAGCCGAAAACCAGAGTGGACGAAGAATTTCATATCAGTCGTTGCATCAGGGTAGCTAGGTCGCACTAGGAATTAGTAAGCCAGAGACAGTCGAACGAGGTAAAAGGTCGTGGAGATAAAACAGGTGCGGCGGCACGGGCAACCAGCCCGCTTCGCAACCTAGGTGTTTTCGCAGCAACGGCAGTAGCAGGACATATAAGCTCTGCTTATCAACATAGTTAGAGGTGGCTTGGAGCAAAGCTAAACGCATTTCGCCAACTAGTACCTGTTACATGGTGTAAGCGCATTAGTGCATCGTAATTTCCTGGTTGTATCATACACGCACGATAATCCAGGCAACGGCAGCTGCTTACGGCAGAAGACGACGATTTTTCGAGGCTCAATGGCAGGCGACGAAAATGCCCGGGGCCCTCGGATGTACGCGCGGGTTATGGTCGATACGTCGTACGATCTCGAGCAAAAGCCAGGCGTAATGGATACCGTGAGGCTGAGCAAAGGCGAAAGTCTTGAGGTGCTCGAGTTCCATTCTGACGATTGGTGGAAAGTCCGGCGATGTCACGATGGCAAAGTTATGTTCGCACCGCCCGCGTATCTTGAGGTATGAAACGTAAAACATTTGAAACTTTACTGGAAAAAATATCGTACGTAATGTGGATAGTTGAAATATTATCTACAGGGTAGGACGAAAGTCTTAGCATATATCTATTTTTTATAGTATCCACACACATATATATATGTGGATACAATAAAATAATAATTTTTACAGATGTAAGATGTACATTCCCAAACTGCCAAAAGACCTTTTTCCTTTCATCAGCTCTATATATGACAATGACGGTCCGGACAAATGGTCAGATAAGTAATTAAGTAATGTTCCCGTAAATGATACCACAAAGCTAATCGTCTATAGTCGCAGTCACTGTAAATCACAGCACTGTAGGGCCATTGTCTTCACAAACAAGGCTTAATGTTGAACGTGTCTCACGACTCTAACACAAGCTAACAAAGGTTTCTAACTTCCGCTCGCCAAGTAATACGCTGGTAGAGCGTGTATGTGGACGCATGTAATGACGATGGCGGCTGAACAAGGTAATATCGTTTCCGTGGGTCATGTTCCCTCTGGGGCCCGTAGAGGATTTGCACATTTCATCATAATAGCCTTCGTATAGAGTGATATAGAGCTGAGGATGTGGTACGTTATGTTCCACTGTATAAAAGATGGGTTTCTTTAACTTTCTGTTCAGCCTTTATATAGACATTTAGTTACAAATTCGTTACGCTCTATAACAAGATTTTTATACAGTGGCGCCATCTGGTGTACATGTCATAAATAGAAAACATAGGCGCGACCAGATCTTTACAGGCGGTAATATCCTGTGTGCTTATTCAACCGCTTATTTAGATTTGAGAAAACTAACGGTTTTTATTAATGTTTATTTAACAAAGTTATGAAATCTGCTTTTGTTATTACACCTAAGTTATCTGTCTAATCATTTTCAATAAATACCATAATATACAATGGGAAAGGTATCACGAAAACTACAGAACAAACAAATGTATGGTACATAGAAAATTGTGACGTTCCCCGCTTTCACTGTGCCGGCCCTTTATCGCCTTGTCGATATGCAACCTGAATGATTATCGTTAACAGTCATTATAGAGATATCATTCTATGACCTACCGTCGTATGGACATTCCCATCTTTGTAAATGTTCTTATATGTATACGTGTACGTGTGTAGATCTTCTTGATTTCATGTTTCCCCAATGCACCGGCTGTACTATGTATGTATTAGTTACATGGATACCAGCTATTTCCTTAAAGTTGTCTAGGTTGATGTGGTGGCAACTGACGAGTCATGACGATATGTGGATATCGCGTCCTGTATGGTCCAGTTCACTATTCGTTTCGACAACAACGTATCATTTCTACCCTGTAGGCAGCTATAATCATGAGCCTGATTTAAAACATCCCTAAAGGATCGTGGCTGCAACGACTAACTAAATGGTCAGTAAACTGGCAAGATTTTATTATACCCGTTAGGTTGAGAAGAGACTATTACCATTTTCATCCTGTCATACAATATGAGTTGCTGATTTGTGAAAGCGGTTAAAATGGATGCAGATAAACGTACGTGAAGTACCTTGCCAGGTCGCTAGTTTTCTTTCAGGTGTGTGTTTTTCATTTGTCAGTTAGGTTAGGGGGGTGAACTTCGGTAAAACCAGTTAGTTCGGTGCTAGTTCTTCACTTACATTTATTTGTTTAGATTTTTTTTACAAATTTCGTCTTTTTACAAATAAACCTCAGAGCTTTCGCTTGTCTGTCTGCTTTTGCAGTTTATCCTTTATATTTACCGAGAAAGTTACCTTGACCAACTTGCCGTTTACCAGAACTCGTTCCAATTCTCGCCTTTTTTCCCTGGTACGCTTTGGGGGCGATTGTTGGAATGGCTTGTTTCAATGGGTTGGTTGGCCAAAGTGCCGTAGCGGTAATTCATCCAGTTGTTGTGAGCCCCATCGCACACGGCGTTTCTAAGGTCATCTAAGTCAATCGTTAAACAATCCCTCCTCCACGCAGAAGTTAACAAGCTACTTCGGCAGATCTTTCTGAAGGTGCTAATATCTTTTTTCATAGATAGTTGTTAGGGTGTATTGATATCCACTGCTTTATAGAAGGGTGTACAGATTTTTCCAGGTACGAGATTTTCAGCTGTTTAGTGGTTATAAGTTGTTAAAATATATCTCAACGCTTTTGAGATTGTCTAAATCTCTTTTTCTCTCTCTTTATATATATATATATATATATATATATAGAGAGAGAGAGAGAGAGAGAGAGATGTTTTTATTGGCTATCTGATAAAAACTGCAGTAGCTTAAGCTCGTTTGAGATCACTTTCCCACTACGGAAGTCAAGAAACCGAGTGCCGACTTCTGCACAAAATGTTACTACCTGCCAAATTGAGGCTCAGCGCAAACTTCGATTTTGACCTGCTTCTAATACATATCAGCGGGTGGCATCGAATGGGAGCCTGCACTAACGAAAACCTGATCGTATTTTACAGACGATAAAAGATTAACCCGACTGTATATTGTATTGATTTGATTATGTAGACATTATTGTCACTTTTTAAACTATTACCTTTTTTGGCCAATAACGGTGTTAAGCTAAAATAAAAAAGAAACCTATAATCTTATTATATCGTATACGCAATAAAAATGTCCTTCAAAAAGCCGACAGTTTATTATAGATGGCATACATTATTATTCTTGCATTATAGACAGGCTGGGGTAAATGGTGATACAATTTCGACACCTTCTGCTTTTTTTATCGTGTTATTGAAGGTTCTTTTGTGTACACAGTAAACTTCATGAGCGCTATCAATTTCCGACTTCACCGGAGATTAAAGGTCAAGGTAAGTAAGCGGTCAGTATAGAAACACGTGACTAGGCACCAATCAAATTGTCACAGGCGCTTTCTATGGAAAAAAAAAAGAGCCTCTAACAATCGAAGCTGCGACAGTCATGCTTGACATTGATTTGCAGAGTGCCGTTAAACCAGCTATGTAACATTAAAAACATTGTATTATAGGACCTAGCGAAGAATCCAAACCAACCATTCGCAGTATTCTTAGCTGAAGTTTTCTTACCTGGAACAGCTAAAATTGCTCCTAGATGCGATATACGATATGAGCAATAAGTATGTTTTCATATTTAAGGAGTCTTGACTCCTGCATGAAATGACTGCAGTGTCTTGAATTTCGTACTAAGGGAAGCAATGATCCTATCCTTTTTCATAAATTTATATATTCAAATGAAAGGCTATTCTAATGCTGCTCTAATTCTACACATTAACTTTTTCTGACAGAATGTATCCTGAATTTAGCCGTCCTTCTTTTTTCTCTACTTTATATTTATTGTGTTTTGAATTTAAATTTCCTATCATCCCTACCGTTGAGTAAATACGTACCTACGGTTGAAGGTGCGCGTAATTAAAATTGTTATTTTAATTATCTCAATCTCAATCAAATCACTGGAGCCCGCTTCGCCTCCGTGGGCAAGGCGAATTATTAACGATGTATAGCTACATCTTCTAATCAGCGACAACATCATTCCAAAAGTACTATTTCCGCTATTATTGCAACGAATTGGTCCTTTTATCGCCCATTGCTGAAACTCAGATAATCGGAGATCAGGACCAGTGGCTTCACACCCATTGAAGCCAATAGTGTACAAAATCACAACTTATACGTATAGCTAAAAAAAAAAAAACAGTTATTATGAAGTTATTCCTACCTGACAAGAGGGCTACGTTCAGCCCTTGTGCGTGATGATGATCGTGCTCTTTCCTTTTGCGTAATAACAAAGACGATGATCGTCTAAACACAGATAGCAAAAGAGATGTCTGTGCTTTTCTGTGACTTGTCTCAGCCGAATGGTAGCAGCGTACTTGTACCTATGCCCGCGGTACTGCGCGCGTCTGTTTTGGCAACCCCGATGGCGAAGCGGGGGGTTTACACACAGCTACTTCTCTGTTGACGGATATCACTTCGGCCTCGGTTCCGTGCATCCTGCCATTCTCGCTCGGACAACAGTATTGACCTGGGATGTGTTGTGCCTTCCTGAACCTTTTCATATAGTTCTTGTTGAGTCTCAATCACTCTGCACTGACTTATGGGCCGTGGTCATAGTAGCTTTGTTGTATCATGTTGACGTTGGTAGCGCTACGCTCTTTTCTGCGCTGAATTCTGTTACATTCAGATTTTAGAACAGAACAGACGGTGCGGCAACTGAAGTACGACTAGCGTCTGATCTGTGTGATCCGGTCTTTGCCTAGTAGTACCTTCATCGTAGGCAAGCAGTCGCACCTGCTGTTAAATTCTTTGATGAGATTCGTCTGTAACGATAAAGTTGATGCGTTGGTGGGCCGGCCCTATTCGTTCAATGCGTGGTTGTCTCTTCACCTTTGAAAAGCTTTGCCGTTGTTCTTTCTATTGTTTCCAGTGTTATACCACAATCGTTGTTGCAGTTTATTAGAGAGAAATCGGCGGGACCTTTATAACCTGACAGCTACTATCGGGTCAGGCCAGGATATCGTATTGACCTAATTCTGATACATGTTTTGCTCGTTCCAAGAACACTTAGTTCGAATGTCGTAGGGAAAAACAGTTGCAAAATTAACTACTTTAGTTAGCAATTGGAGCAATTCAGGCCAATCGCCCCTTCTCCCGTAATTTGTTCCTATGGAAATATCACAGAAGTGTCGATAGACGTAGGCTTCTCGCGTAATCTGTTTATACGTCGCATGGACAAGAGCCGAGAGACGTTCTAGTCACATCGAAGCATACGAGATTAATGAATCTTTCCATGTTTCTTAAATTCGGATAAAGCTTATCGGTAACTGTAGACAATACAAACTTTGATGTTTAGGGCAATCTCGCTTCGGATGAATAAGCCAACCAGCCAGCCAGCCAGCCAGCACACATCGGATATAATGTCGTTAAATATGTTATAAGTATTGATAGAAAACCTTCACTAAGCATCGCTTACGAAGCGCTAAGATCTGCAATTCTAGGCCAAGTATTGTTAATTAGAGTTAAGG